CCCCAGCCCCAAGGCAGGGCTGCTGCAGTGGGGCACAGGCATGCAGCCCCCCAGCTCAGCCCTCTCCCTCCTCTGCCCCCAGCATGTGAAGGACATCATCCTGCAGTCCAACCCACTGCTGGAAGCCTTTGGAAATGCCAAAACCATCCGGAACAACAACTCCAGCCGCTTCGTAAGTCGCCAGGGCAGGTGCAGAGGGTCAGCACCGCGGCCAGGATCCGTCCCAGCAATGCTCCTGGTGTGGTGGGAGAAGGGGGAGAGAAGCCAGGGCAGGGGGGAGTGAGGAGTCCTGATGGCCGGGGCTGCGGCTCTGAGCAAGAGGTGTGCCGGGGCAGGGGAAGTACTTCGAGATCCAGTTCAGCCGGGGTGGCGAACCCGACGGAGGGAAGATCTCCAACTTTCTGCTGGAGAAGTCGCGGGTGGTGAGCCAGAACGAGTGTGAGAGGAATTTCCACATCTACTATCAGGTACGGGGGGCACGGAGCTGGCCGGGCTGCCGCGGGGGCCAGGGGCCAGGTAACCGCAGCTCCCATTTCTCTCCCAGCTCCTCGAAGGGGCATCCCAAGAGCAGCGGCAGAACCTGGGCATCATGAGCCCGGATTATTACTACTACCTGAACCAGTCGGACACATACCGGGTGGAGGGCACAGATGACCGCAGTGAATTCCATGAGACCATGGTGAGTGCCTAGGAGGGGAAGTCCCCAAAGCCAGCTGTGGCCAGGCAGGGGTTGACAGGCTCCCCACGCCCCCCGCTGGTCATCGGCATCCGGGGCGAGGACCAGCAGCTGGTGCTGCAGATCGTGGCGGGGATCCTCCACCTGGGAAACATCAGCTTTCGGGAGGAAGGCAACTACGCTCATGTGGAAAATGCTGACTGTGAGTAGCTGACTCCCCCTGCTTCAGGGGGGCAAGTGGGGACACTCACAGAGACCCTTGGCAATGAATTGCAAACTCTCCATAGCACAAATCCCCTGGTAGAGGAGAGAGGCAGCATCAGCATCTTCCCCACGTTAGACACAGGGAAAGTGAGGCAGTGAGCAAATGGCACAACCAGAGCTTAATTAACAAGGGGACAGATGCCAGGAGTCACTTGCTGTGATTTAGCAGAGGGAGGACTGTGACCCACATCCCCGGTTGCTCCAACACTGCTGTCCTTTGCACTCAGAGGGGCTGGGGGGTCCAGCAGCGGCTGCGCGCAGCATGGCGGGGG